GTCACAACCAGACCTTCAGTGGTCACAACCAGACCTTCAGTGGTCACAACCAGACCTTCAGTGGTCACAACCAGACCTTCAGTGGTCACAACCAGACCTTCAGTGGTCACAACCAGACCATCAGTGGTCACAACCAGGGCTCTGTGTGTGCCTAACAACACTTCTGATGTTAGAGGGAGTAGCTCACTGCTGTTACAGTTTGTTGCTTTGTGTGCAGCACTAATGTTTAAATGTGTTATTTAAATACATTTGATTGATTGATTGATTGATTGATTGATTGATTGATTGATTGATTGATTGATTGATTGATTGATTGATTGATTGATTGATTGATTGATTCAAATCCTGGCTCAGACACTCATGAGTCCTCTCCCTGAAATGTGACATCACTTCCTGGCAGCGTCTTCATGGCACACTATTCAGTACTATACTACCCAGGTTACACCACAGTATAATGATACTGTAAAGACAGTACACATATTTTCCTCCAGTTTTATTTGGTCAGAGTAACATTGAAGAAAGTGATTGGGGTTTGTTTACTAACTGCTTTTTAAAACATTCTGCAGTTTTTCTCAGGTGAAACATGATGCATTTTTATTAGGGATGCACCGATATGAAAATTTCAGCCGATATCGATATCTGATATAATTATTGCTGTTATGGTCGATAACCGATATTTACCGATATTATACAAACACACAAATTATACAGTATTATACATGTACACACAAACACACTTGGGTCTCTTTTTGATACGGTAAAACAACGATCAGACCTCTGACATGACTGTACTTCAGTTATTCCTGGTTACGCAGCGTTAATATTATCATGATCAAACAGATGCTGCTCAACCAAACATCTCACCTCCCAAAACACAAACACAAAGATAAAAAGTGGGAAATCAACATCAGACATTAATATCGGCCCAATTTTACATATCGGACCGATACCGATATATCGTGCATCCCTAATTTTTATAAACTATAGTGTGATTATTTTTGTGACTAAATTGATGATTTTATGTACAGCCTGGTTCTGGGTTAGCCTGGTAAAAAACAGACCCTGTCCTTCACTTTGCTTCATACAAGGGTCTGGACTTGAGGCTATTGAGAAGCGATTTCTTGCAGGAGGCGTGGCCTCTGCTGAAGTGTGTGTGTCGGTGTGACGGAGGCTAAGCTAAGAAGCTAACCAGAAATCACGTGTGTTGTAAACAACCCTACTGAGAGGAGAAATATACGGAGATGAACC